ACACCGAACCGGGGAGCTTTCAGGAGCAACTAGACTAATAGAAAACTGTTTCTGCGACCCGGAATGTTTTTCCATCACATGCTCTCAAGAGAACAGAAGAGCAGTTACCCGTGATCAGTGACACGTAGCTTTACCAATCGATAGTAATGTAAAAACTGCCGGTGTCTCTTCTGTGCTATTGGCGACATCTCCATAACATATCTTGGCTCAGTCGATCATTTAGGTTACAGGTGAGACACTTTGTACCCACCCAGGTGATAGGAACTGGCGCACATTATGCAGGGTCGTGCTAATGTGATTGCTCATTTGTAGCCACGCTATTGTGGTCGCTTATTTATTTTTTCATACCTCTACGCTGTTTCAACTTAGGGCTCCCGAACCGATTTGAATCGGGCCAAGGTAGTTAGCAAGTACTTTTGCGGTCAAACCCATTGGAACATCGTAAAATCGTGTTCTGATTACGCCGAACAAATGGTGACGATGCAATGGATGCAGTGTCTCTTTATGGGGGTGCCTAAGGTAGTGGATTTCAAACTCAATCATGTCTGTCCTGAGTAATGTTCACTAACGAAGTATACTTTCGAGACGAGGTGGCTGATAGTTTGCTGAACTGGTTGAAGATGCAAAAGAGAGAACTATCAAGACTGGGGAATTCATGTTAGGAGGATTGCAACCAGAAACAGCATTTCCGCTAGTCTGTTTCGTAGAAAGATGAAGGGGAACCCAGGAAATGATATGGGGAAAAGTGGAAAAAAATAATTGGCTGTGGAATCTACGCAGCTATCAAATACATCGAAGTAGACAGAATCTGTCCATCTCAGAATAAGTGTCAGACGAGTAAATGGTGAATTCTCTCCGCTTCTCCTTCGAGTGTTAAGAATCTGAAAAAAGCTGTTCTGTTTGAAGACAATCCATACTGAGCAGGGATTGAAGTTGAAGAGAGAATGTGCAACAGGGACAATCGTGTGATTGGCGTGGTTTCAGGAAAAAAATTACAGTGACCGATTGCACCTCGGAGGTTCGGTGTAGGGATCTTTTACAGATAAGCCCCGCCACTAATGCAAAAAGTCCACGTGCGAAAAGTTGAGCCGCGCCACTTTTTGCCGGCTCCAATTTAATGTGCGCACTCAACCTTGACCTATTTTTGATGAAAACAATTCCTCATTTCGTGCGAAACTTTTCTCCGTTCGGACGTAAAGCCTTAAATGAACTTTCTGACGCTTTCAACCGTCGTTCATGACAAGGAGACGGCGATACGTTTTTTGCAAAAACACGGAGTGATCCATCAGCAGCGCAACAATGGCCAACAAATGACACTTTCAACCGTTTCTAACAGGTGGTGTAGTGCCGGACAGTGCCGGCAAAAAATCGGTCTTCGAAAGGGAACTTGGCTGGAGTGGTCTAGGATGGAGTTTAGGACAGTCATTCCATTCATTTATTGCTGGTCCAAAAATTTGGCAAACATCAAATTCCGCTTTTGACTGGAAGAACTTCCTTTGCGAAGTTTGCGCCTGGCGGCTTTTGCAGACTCCAACGGTTAACCATTCGCTCTGTGGATTTAACGACTGGAGCTCACACACAAACCATCGAATCTCTTTGGCACATCTAGAAGATGTAGAATAAACGCCAATGCGGCACGCACCGATCTTTAGTGGATAGCTACTTGTGCGAGTTTGTTTGGAGGCAAAGGTGCCAAAAAACGGACCTTTTCACGCCAATTATTAATGACATGTTCCAATTTCACCCTCTTCAATAAAAACTAAAAGTACAAATTTCATGTCCTCTTTTCTAATCTTTTTTTGGGTGGCGGACGTTAATTTTTTGGCGGGGCTTATCTGGAAAAGATCCCGGTGTAGTCCTGTGGAGTCACATGTGTAATGAAGAGAATTCATCTGACATCGATGGATCGAAAGCAGACGGCAGATTCGTGCATAATCACACCGAATCGGTGCGTCCTCTGAGTTATTTTTTGTTGCTTCGGACAAGGATTGCTTTTGCGATGATGCCGAATGCTTATGTTGATCGAAAATAGTGTGTCTCCTTCATCTACTTGACTGACACGGAATCAAGACATAAATTACATACAGTTCCGTCGGTCGCAACACATGAAACACAACTCAGTAAAGGAAGGATACATGCGGCAGTCGCACTGCTCATAAGTCTGCAGAGTGTCGGATGAAGGTCACATAAACCAGGTTAGACGTACTGCGACTGCCAAGCGGTTCTAAGCGCAACCTGATCAATATGATTTTTGCGGAGGATCCAATGGTTTTCGCCATTTTTTGTTTTTTTTTTCACTGCTTTTATTGTCGTTTTGTTTCTCAACGTTCCGGTCACCACCAACGTTCACTTGGAGCCAATTACTCGAAATCACACGGAAGTGCGAACACGCGTCGTTTGATGTCAGCATTGAGGCAGTCAGTCATTTGGCTGTGCGCTATTCTAAAAAAGTAGAGTTCTGGCTTCGAGAAATGAACTCATTTGCAAATCAATTCGGTTTTCCCGAGTGACTAACCTGAATCTCTCGTTTATGATATTCTACAACTGAATGTGCTGCACACAGGCCGCCTCAGCATTCAGTTGGCACGATATTCGAGGGCTGTCGATGAGTTTTCAGCAACCTTGTGAGTAGTTTCCTTTATGAAAGTTCGGGCTTGGTTGTGTGTATTGTGTTGAGGCTGGTCTTGTTCAAATGACGAGTAGTTGTTGAGCAGGTCAAAATACGAAAGCCTCCAACGGTATGCAGAACTCACGTCCACATCACTCTCTTTCTAACAACCGTCCTTCAGTCCTGGTTCAATTGCAATTTTTATGGTCAGTCCGCATTACGAAGAGGTAACACTGGACTCGAGTTTTGCTCTCATTGGAGCTCATCGTCAGTGCCTATCTTTGGTCGTGATAATTCAGAAGCGCACAGGGTGCTCTGGTGTAGTGGTAGTCACACGCTCGCTTTGCATGTCAGATCTCCGGAGTTCGGATCTCGGCCCGGCCATGAATATGCATTATTGATGAGTTCTAATAAGGTGTGCAGAACTTTATGTGGCTGGCACGGTCGAGTAACCTTGATCAGATTGTCAACTCCGCTATATCGGGTCTCCAACTGACTAACGTCTGTCGGTTTGATTGTCTCTTCCAACCGATGTACGGGCGGGATGGCTCATTGATTAGAGCCCTAATTTACTGACTGGAAGGTCCGTGGTTTGAACCAGACCTCTGCCTCTCGACCTCCCCTGTTCCCAACCCTCTTGCTTCCTTCGGGTGGCATGGCAGCTAGACACGGAAAGGGTGTTGCAGCTGAACGATGTACGGGACCTCTGTCAACGGCAACCGAACGATGAGTACGGTCTTGAAGCTTATAAACAGTGAACAGAATCAAGGAACCATATGCGTGCATGCGAGCATGTTGAAAACAACTATCAGCACTAACCAGCCACTAATCGCCCACCTTGTTGACTGTGTTTGATACACCAGGTTATCGTTCATAGTGGACAGAACATGGCAAGATTTTATTGTGAAAGTCTATTGGCGTCTGACTTGGCTCGACTACTAAGCAACACTCCCCACAGACCTTCGACTATGCGAATACCATGGGCTCGTTCATTTCAGGGCAAACATCCGTTGCTAGTCGTCGCTAATATTTATAAGGTTGGTTCAAACATGCAGAAGAACCAGAAGTGTCGGGGACGCCTAATCGCTCGGAAGGGCAGGAAGACAATATCGGGGAGCATGGTACCTTGGGTTATATCATAGGGAAATTCGAAGGAAAGCGTAAGGCACTTGGCTAAATGGTTCTCAGGTTCTTGCTTCACCGCGCACCGGTATGTAGAATATCGTTGCGCCCAGACTACAGCGGTCGATGCATCACTTGTGTTCGCGCTGCCTTACCGTTCGGAGCAACAGCGGAAAAGCCCACGTATCAACACAACCGATACGTTCAAACGAGATGAACCAAGTGGTTGGAGCGCGAATTCACTGACCGGAAGGTCCATGGTTTGAACCCGACCTCTGCCAGTCGACTTCCCCTGTCTAAGCTCGGGCGACCTGGCAGTATCCCAGCCCTCGTGCCTCCTTCGTGTGGCATGACAGCTAGGCACCGAAAGGGTGCTACAGCTGGACGATTTTTATACGTCCAAAGATGAATGTGAATAGTGCACAGAGTGTTGACTGCCTCAGTGTTGGAACCATCTACCGCTTGTCTGCTCGTCTATGTGAGCTTGATTAGTTCGTTTCTCGATAAAGTTTTTCCATGGTCATGGTCGAAAATTTGAGCAAAATGTAGAGGTCTTTCTCACCGATTACACTGACTAACAGTGCACACAACGCTCAGACTATCCGAGTACGTTTGTGCTTAATCCAACATTGATACTGCTCCATGTCATTGGTTTGACTTCGTGCCCAATCATTCAGATGTTAAGTAGCGCACCAAACCTTATTCGAGAGTCTGTTGATAAGCTTATGAAAGCGGACGTTTCGCTCGTTAACTGAATTAGTTGGTATTGTTTCTTCTCTCTCTCTCTTTCCAGTCTCAACAAACTGACCTTCCTCCCGGACGAACTGGGTCGTTTGCACGAGCTCGTTTCCTTAGATGTGGCCAACAATCAACTGGAGAGTCTTAGTGACCAGAACTTCGCCGAGCTGATGAGTTTGGAGAAGTTGGTGCGTCTTTGGAGGTTTATTGGGACTGTTGTGAGGCACTTTTATTGGAAAGATCAGTTCGAAACATCTCTCAAGGACAGCAGTAACTATTGTTACTTTTCGCAATTCTTTGACTATAATTCTCTTGTTACCAAATGAGTACTAAGACCGGGGACGGGGGCGAAAAGGGTTAAAGCTAAAGTTTACTTTGCGATATAATGATCGCGGAAAATTTGAACCACTTAGAAATGTGCATAGTGTGGTTTCCATTCCAGTCAAGACGGCGTCAGTGTTTTTCTTTCTCCCCTATCGTCCTGAAGGCCTAACGCACAAATTGCAGGCCAACTTCAGCGAGACAGTCCGAAAAACTAGAGGCAATATACTCACCGAGCACATGTTGTGGAGCCTCGATTCCCAAAGGTGCACAATCATATGGATGTCATTCGAGAAATTTCCAAGGTCCCATATAGTGCACGAATTCTAGGGCAGCTATTTCCCTTTTTCTAGACTAAAGTACGGGGAACTGAAGGGAGCAGGATGCGCTGTTTTCGCGCGCACAGATTTCCAAATGGGACTCTAGGCGGTGAAGATGATTCTGTTACTTCTTTCAGGCGCTGCTATGGAAAGTGTTCCAGTCCGCTAAAACCTCTGAGGATAGGCTTGAAATTGTTTCACACGAAGGAAACTCTCAAAGCAACCTATGCTCCGGAGTATATCAGTATAGATTTCATCGTGCCTCCAATTCCAGCGAGTTCAACACTGGTCATAAAGGAACTTTCTAATCTGATGTGGGATTGATTTCTCTGACCAATGCCAAATCGGGTTTTCTTCAAAGTTTGAGCAATATTTCTCGTACCAAACGAAGTGGATTGTGCAATGGAGTATCGAATCGGCTTTCGTATTGCACACAAAACAGAAAAATATTGATTCTGTCCCAGCAATGTCAACATTCACGCGAGCTTAAACGCGGCTGCACAAAGATAAGCATGTGCAAATTGTTTCACAACAGAGCTACACTAATATAAACGTAACAAACTGCTCATCAGGTTGCTGAAAACTCTCCGACAACCTTATGAGTAGTGCGTTACGTTAATACCGTGGAAGGTGATGTCTCGAATGTTGTATCAAGTGGAACATGAGGCGGCCTGGTGCAGTGCACACGGTTGAAGAAGGACATCGTAAACGAGAGATTCAGCTGGGATTAAGGCGAGTTTCTTGTGAAAACTGAGTTGTGATTTTATTTGTCGAAAAAGGGCACTTAGTTCTGCTAGATTAACTCAGTTGTTCTGCGATGTTGCACCGGGTCACATTCTTCGTTCCCACCTTCACCCATTACTTTTATTATCATTGTCGCTTTATAAACTTTGATGCATTTCTTTCAGTTTCATTCAAGTTCTTGAAAATTCATCGTTTAGCTCGCAGATTGTTATCCCAGGTGAAGGGGGATGTAAATGTGTCGGAGAACATAAACTTCCGTCATTTAGCGACAATTTTGCTGTACGATGAATTTTTTGTTGAGGCATCTTTTAGCTCGATTTCAGAAACAGAAAAAAGTCACTCCACATTCCTTTCTAGACGTAACACACTACTCAGAGGGATGATGAAAACAGCCCATGAGCCGTTTCACCTTTCTGGGTCGTAGTCAGATGTTTCACCTCTCTCATGGCTCTTTAGTTATCATAAGATAAACCTGGTTGCGTGGCAATAATTGCAACCGATGACCCTTAGTGCTTAGCATCGGTTGACCTCTTTCCCAACGACTGTTCATCAAATGACAGTGGTCGAGGTTTGACGGGCTCTCGCCTGCAATTTTCAGTTTGTTCGGGTTTATGTTATTGGGCATCTTGTAGCTGGATCCCATCATGAGCAGCGTAACATATCGTAAATGTTACGCAACGTGCTCCATTTTCAGGTTCCAGACACCTTCCAGCTTAGCTAAGCCATGGTCTCGATAGAATCACTCGGGATATCTCACTCCTGTCCACTCGCAGAATATACGTGAGTTTGTTACGTACCCAGGCTTCCGACAGACCTTCAGTTGTAAATTCGACAGCCTGACCACTTTTTTGGTCCTATTCCTCCGGATAAGTCGGACGCTTGCCTTGCCCACTGTCTTCCAGTGGATATCCAGTCTGCTTGGACTAATTGAATCCATCTCTCTCTGGGGCCAGTGCGAGAGATAAAATCTGGAGCTGCACTGGGAACGCTATAAATTCCCAGGAGTTTGGTGCTGAATGATTGCGTCTTAAGTGAAAGGTTTTCCTCCGGGTGATACGAATAGTGCTTGTTCTATTCACCGCATGCTTTTCTTCACAAGCTCTAAGCTATTTTTGTATGTATCATACAATGAAGTAATGTTTTAAAAACATTGATTTCACGGATTTCATGAAATTTAGACTTTTGTTTGGGGGATCAGGGATTAGAGTGCTTCACCCTGCACGTATTGTCACTGGAGCAAAGACACCATTGCGGTCATTTTGACGTATAAAACACCAAATTGATTGGATGAGATGGTAACGCTAAGGTGTCAAATCGTATGCACCGTCGATGGAAATATCAAAACCTCCCAGTCATTCAACGTGACGTTTCAGATTCGCAGAGGCTCGTTTGCCGTGGCGTCCCTTGGAGGCGACATTGCAGATTCCCCCAGTTAGCATAGTTGCAAATAGGTGGCTGGGGTGTGAGGAAACTGGCACCTCAACAGCCGGAAACAAATCCACATTGGCCTTTAGAATCTTCGTACGTAGACAGGAAAGCAAGAGGCCCTTCGCTGCGGAGTTGTTTATTAGAAAATGCCAACTGAACAGTTACAGACTATTGGACAGGGAAGCAAAACTCTCGTTTGCATCTTGCTTACAAAAACCGAATATCCGTGTTCTCCTTGAACGCGTCTTCCCGAACTTTCCTGAGTATTCATCGAATGTTGCTCAACTGCAAGGAAATGTGACTCCACAAATTCCGTAATAGCTCCCACTCATCAAGAGACGCGAAGAGGATTTACGAGAAAACATACTACTCGCATGCCCCCAGTCAGTAGTATCACCGTTACACTGGAAGTCAACAGTTTGCTATCTGCAACCTACGTTGTTACCGAGTTGACGTTGCCTGTCCTTCCGAAGTACGACTACTCAACTCTACCGAGGTGGGCGAAGGCTCCTCGTGTGGATGCCAGCTGTACTGCAGTGAGCAAAATAACAGTGATCCATCTGTGATCCTGCCTTCAACCTAGGTGATCAACCATATCCAGTCCCTGAGTCCAAAGATAATTTCTTAGAACAATTTCAAAATGCCTTTGAATAAATGTCCCTAGCTGACAGAAAATGATCTCACTGACTCATCCTTCGAAAGTTGGACTTCAGGCATCGCCTGGCAAGTTATTTGAGCCACAACCAACTGTTTATAACTGACAGCACCCACGAAGACACTCACGAATGCGCCATCAAAATGCCGGTCATACAACACACGTGTATACTCGGTCATTTTTACCAATTCTATCGAAATAAGCATCGTTAGTAAAAAGCACCCAATGTTGTCTAGGGACGGCATCGACTAACAATCCCATCCGTTTGCACCACACCTGCTCCGAGTTTTAGTCAATGTTAGTTCGTTCAGTTTTGTACGCTTTTTTGAGCTTTTGCGGAAGAATACATCTCACCCATTCTGTTGTTTTCCCACATAGGATGCTTCTGAAAACCGCCTCTCCAGCGTGTCTGTACTCCCACCAAGACTACGCCAAATCAACTTGAGTCATAACCGTCTCGAACACGTTCCAACCGGACTGCTTGAAAAGTTGCCGAGTGGGTATTTCTGCTGGTCCATATTGCTTTATTACACACGTCTCAGTCAAAGCGGACCCAGTAATCCGTCACGTTTTGGGTGCCATGACTATCGGTACCTTTACAACTCACTGATAGAGTGGGCCGCTAGTTTACCCTTCGGATTCCTGATTTGCTTCAGGTTTATAGTGGTTCTCACCTGGTTCACATTCCTGGCTGTCAGGTGGAACGGTGAAGAAACTTTATTCAGTTTGGTTTTCACGAAAACAGTCCAATTTGGGTTCAAGTAGAACATAAGGCTGACAGAAACTCGGGAACTGCGCCTACCCGATGGGCCCAAGAAGGGCGAAACCGGTCGTGGGCTGTCGAAGAGTTTACAGCAACGTTGTGAGTAGTTTCCTTCATGAACTTCATTCAGTCTTCAAGTCTTGAAGCGGGTTATAGTGTGTTTCAAGGTTACAAGACTCCTTCCAAATGTCTTTGTGCAGTGGTAGTTTTTGCTGCGCCGGTATCCATCGCCGGAATTCAATATGGCAGTGGGGTCCCGCTATAACATACGGTACTTTTTGTGCTGGTGATAGCCCAGTGATTAAGGCGCGGAATTGCTGACCGAAAGTCTTATGGTTTCGAAACCAACCTCAGCATCTCGACTGCTTCGGTGTGGACAACTGGGCACTATGTCAGAAATGTAGACACTGGGCTTCTGATTTTTGGGCAAGATTGAGAAGCGCTCCCAAAGTATGGCCCGTCTCTGGGCTTGTGGTGGTACGGTTGTGACACGGCAATTGGCTCCTATTCCCTTCTGTTCGCGTCAAACTGCGATTGATTTTGATCATTCAACTGTAGCATTCTTTCCATGCCTAGTTGCCATGCCACCCGAAGGAAGCACAAGGGCAGAGATTAGGCCAGGTTGCCCAGATAGAAGCATTTGAGATGCTCAGGGTTTGGTTTGAAAACTCGGACCTACTATTAGTGAGTTCGCAACTTAACAACTGAGCTATCTAGATTCTTTTACTGTGGTCGAATAATATTTTTCAGGTAGTCGATCGTTTTACCTGGCCAGAGAACAGCAACCAATGCTTTCATCAGTTTTTTTCAGTATTGTCTGGCTGCACCGTTAATCTCAAGCGGAATTTGTGCTGCTATTGAAATCAACTGATGCCAGAAAGTCGAGAAGCACTTTCCAGGCCACAAAATCTACTCAAAGCATATGCTTTCCAGGAGAAAGCCCTCCGGGGAAAAAGTCGACTGGGGACGATCCCGAGGTTGTGAAATATCTAATAATTGGAGCAAGACGAAAACAGTTTCAACTCGTTGCTGGCGGTATGCAACTCCGAAAGCCTAAATAAATCTGTTTCGGTGGCATGGAACGCCATTTTGAGCGATTTTGAGTTCTCGACTGGTTCATTATCACATGATATATCACATCGGTGACCAGCAGTGGATGGGTGGTCGTTTTTATCTAAGTTAAATATACGAGCCTACTTTAGTTCACTCTGAACGAGCAGTAGGTTTCGTGTAAACCCTTATGTGGTGCGCTTAATTCCCCTTTCCCTGTTATAGAACTCCAATCTTTAGATCTACAATCGAACCAGTTGACGGCCCTCATTCTGGATAACCGTAGCCCGTCGGCTCGCTCCGGTTCTCCCCTGGTAACCCTGAATGTCTCTTTGAATCGTCTGACTGTGGTTCCAGATGTCTCAGGTTTGGCAAATTTAAAGGTTTGTTCAACTTTTCATTGTATGATGCTCCTACCCCTAAGACGGCCGGCCAAAATACGTGATTCTAAAGCCTACTTACTGCGCCTGTACATTCCCTGATTACAGTAGCATAATATTAGTAGATTAATAGGATTTCTTGCTAAACTGTGAAACCACCCTGAATATACCACTCAGCTTTAGATTGATCAGAGACTGCTTTCGGAGAGACAATTCTCGGGGCACAGGCTGTATACCGAAATGGAAACTTTTCCGCTTCCGAAACGATCGGTTTCTTCCTTTCTAAGCGATTACGCCACAATCACGATGGATTTGTCATTGGTCGACAGTTGTCACGTGGCCAGATTACTGATATCAACATGCTGCTACTTTGAATCGTTGAAACATGTTTGTTAACCACATGGAAGAGTCCACCTTAGGCGGTTTAGAGTAAGCTTGACATGCAAATGTACCTATTTTCGCCGTTCACCAATCAATCCTGTGAGTGGATTCATCTGAGACTAGGTCGGTGTACTGATGTGGCGGAATGCAAAACAAACTCGTACACATGAAAGTCGATGTTGCGATGCTGTCGACGGGTTTTTCTGCTTAAATTTCAGGTTCTGACAGATCCAACTTTTACGTGGGTGTGCAAATGTCAATACATTCATCAATAAAGCAAAGTTAAAAATTATGATATCATTGTATTAATGTGAACGTGAGCGAGACAGGAGAACGAAACCAGATGCGTCCCTCAAGATTTCACTCAGATAAGGGGACAAGGTACTGGAACTTACGAGGCTAACGAACAAATGATCATGATTAGATATTCGTTTACTGAATGAACACAATATGTGATTTGAGCGGTGAACTTGACAGCCTGGTGAGTTCGCAGGTGAAGTTCTCACTCTGGGCGCAAAAACGGTTGTTGGACCAGTTTACTGCAAGAAGTTCGTGGGTGTCCAGTCGCTTCTTGCTTCAGGACACATAAGCTAACTATACAGGTTGTCCGGTCGCACCGGTAGATCTGTTTGCCACGTGCGGTTGGACACACTCGGAAGCTGTTTCGCATAGGGTAGCAAACTCAGCAGTGAACTCCTTTACCACCTTACCGACTTGCTTCAGCTGATTAAGTCGATGTCCTTCAGAGCAATACCGACTGGGTGGTACTCTGAATGTCCGAAAATTAAATTAAAAATAATCGGCTCCATCTACGTGATCGCCTACATCGTCACCATCCGCCGATTACGGTGTTTTCAAATGAACGACTGTATCTCCTCGGGCCGCCGGGCAAAGTTAAGTTGCTACAGCATTTAGGCATTGACACGAATGGATCACGACACATCCATCGATGGTGGCACGACTTGGAAGTTTTTCGCTCCATTCAAATCAACCTTTGCTGCCGATTTTCTACCAAACCCCGAAACCTTTATGGGTTCGACAGCTCCACTCTAGTCCCATCACTTTGCGTAGTTAAGCCATTTTGTGAGATCTTCAAACTGTTCAACATGACCCAGGCTATATTTCATATGAACGTTGCAGTGTAGTCGTGTCTGAACGCAGAGACTGCACAATTTTCAAAAGTGAAGCATTGAAATTTGTGACAGTTCCTAGGAACAACCAAGTTGCATACTCCGCTGAAGCTGCTTGGACCTCACGAAACACGACCAAGCGCTCATATTAGTTGCAGGAGGTTGCGGGGTTTGTAGAATTCACGTTCATTCTCGCTTACTCAGTCCTGATGCAATTTTTCTGGAGTTTCTACACCAGAGAGTGGGGAGCGTTGGAACATGAGTCCTACAAGTAACGCAACCATCTACGATCAGTCGAAAATTGTCTAGCGTGCTGACAAGTCCTGACAAGCGGGTCAATCGATCGATTTTACTGGGACGGTTACTGGGTCGTCGTTCGGTGAGTGGGGCACACCAATCAGGGGGCGAGATGGCTTAATTGGTTAGAGCGCGAAGTTACTGGCCGGAAGGTCCGTGGTTCGAACCCAACCTCTGCCTCTCGACTTCCCCTGTCTAGGCTTGGGCAAACTGGCAGTCTCCTAGCCCTCATGCTTCCTTTGGGTGGCATGGCAGCTAGGCGCCGGAAAGATGCTCCAGCTGAACGCAGACCAATCATATCGCTCAAGCGTGAACATGTTCGCCTATTCGGACGTGACAACTCAGTTGTGTCCAAAGTGCTCTGGTGAAGTGGTGGTAACACTTTTCGCCTCGTATGTCAAATGGATGTCCCGAGTTCAGACCGCAGCATGGCGGAGCGTATGCACCGCTGATTAGCTCTACTGAGAATGAAACTCGAGTCCAGTGCTTCCACCCCGCTGTGCTGTGCGCTCACCAGAACAGTTGCGCCGGAACAGCAGAATGACTGTTCAAACGAGAGTATTTGGACCTGAAGCCTTGATATATTCAGTATGATGAGATCACCGTGAATGTTCAGCAAAACATATGCACAGAGATTGAAATTTCCAGGGGCTTTTACGAGCAGTAATTCCCACATATTGCAGCACAATGGGGCAACACGTTCAGTTGCGTGGAAACATCACAAGCGAGAGATTCAGCTGGGTTCCAGGTGAGTCTCTCGAAAGAACCAAATTAGTTTGCAAATGAGTGAGTGTCTATTGGCTAATTTGGTGCAATTTTTTTGTTTGAAGTAGAACATAAGGTTGACGGAAACCCGGGGACTGCGCCTACCTGATGAGCCCGAAGAAGGGCGAAACCGGTCGTCGACGAATTTTCAGCAACCTTATGAGCAGTGCATTACAAGTTGTAAATCGTCCTTATCCTGTGGCTGCTTTTTTCAAGAACTCATGTTTCTTACATAATACATGTTGGCCTGTACGTACAAGTACTTGTGCTTGTACGAGTATAAACAAGTCGTTTGCTATGATGTTTGACTTACTTCTGGTAGGTGATGTCATCTTGGGTGGCCTGTCGATAAAAAACAGGTGCTGCACTGCTACTGGTTGCCCTGGCGTCGCACAACGCCTAGAATGACTCCTTAGCTTGTTTGTTCCAACTGCGGTTGCGCGTTGCTCAGGGCCTCTTTGCATTGTTCGTCTTCACTGTGTGCACTATCGACATGCTAGTAATTCTCAGTTTGATTTCTGTAATGAATTTCAACGCTTACTTACTGGGAATTTCCGTACAGCTTTTGCCGATTGTTTCTAGCATAGATTCCCAGAGGCGAGGTTATCCGCAGATACCTTGTAGTTCTTATTGATCGCCTAAAAGAAACGAAAAGCGTGACACTTTGCGAAGCTTGCATGCCCTCTGTTCACCTAATGCCAGCAGGTCATCTCAAGTCATCGCTCGTAATATACTGTTCCACGCTGTCACCAACAAGCAGTTGAGTGGACCTTTTTCGACCCAGGTTGAGTGCGAGAAGCTTTATTAATGACTATCCGACTGGTCGATGAGATAGGATTTTTTCACTGAAAGGCACTCACACTTCTCTCAGATCCAAAAGGTATTCTGGAGCCCACGGTACGTCAGACAACTTATCCAGATGCCTTTATTAATGACTATCCGACTGGTCGATGTGATGGGATTTTTTCACTGAAACGCACCCACACATTTATTTCAGATCCAAAAGGTATTCCGGAGCCTACGGCGCAACTTATCCAGATGCTACCTATCTTACATAAAAGTCGTTCAGCTGTAACACCCTTTCGGTGCCTAACTACCATGCCACCAGAAAGAGGAACGGGAGGTTCGGATACTGCCAGGTTGCCCAAGCCTAAACAGGGTAAGTTAAGAAGCAGAGGTCGGGTTGGAACCACAAACTTTCCGGTCAGTATAATCGCACTCTTACCACTGAGCCATCTTGCCCACATATATCACAACAGTAGGCCACGATCGGAAAACGAGCGAATCCCCAGGTGGTCTGTGCAATTTTGGTTTATGGGGTGGCTAGGCTGCCACTGTTCCCTAGCAGCACAAATCAACCATTCTTGCGATGTCTTCATCGCCCAGTTAGGATGATCAAGCCATTCCAAGGGAAACAACCGAGGAATAAACTCACATTCATGTTAACTGTTAGCTCATCATTTTGCGTCTAATGGAACCTGACGATCTGTATTGTGCATTATATTTTCAGGAATACGTCAAGCGAACACAAGTACTTACAGACTTAAGTACACAAAGGCACACAAGTACCTACATAGACTTAGGTACGCAAGTACCTATATGGACTTGAGTTAGGCGCATGTTTCGAGTGGATCGCATTTTTCCGTACAGTTACGATACATTTGAAAATCTGCAGCAGAATCAGATGAGTTTGCGCGCTGCATCAACATCTGTGGCGAAATTCAGGTTTCCATAAAAGTAATCATTTCTGAGCAATGCTTGGTGCGACAAAAGTCGCTATATGGGGTAAGTTTCTGGAGAAGTCGATGTTCGTTGATAGCATGAGCAGAATCGGAAGTTGCCCGTTGAACTTTCGTACTGTGAGTCATCATCGTCATCATCATTATCAGCTGTAATAACCGCGTACTCGTACAGTGGTTGTAGCTGTCAGAGTTTCGTTCCCCGATGATGTGGGGGGGGGGTAGGTAGCTGGGCTTTCCAGGCGGGGGATGACAAGTTAGTGCATAAATCCAGTAGTGTCAGCGGGCTGTCGATTGGGGAAGGGGGAATTGAGAAGAGAGCTATGCACTGAAGGCAATAGCTTGGATGCACGAGCGCCATTGAGGGCGCGACTGGGCCGTGTCTGACAATGTCTCTGACCATTGATGTGACCGGTCTCGGGGTCCCCATCCAGGAAGACGGCAATGATCAGCGCAGCTGAGTGAAGTCACTCGATGCCGTAAATCCTACGAGCACTTCACAGCTGTTCCATCCTTACTGGAGATTCGTGAGACTTGCATTGCTGATGACTCCTAATAAGGGTAAAACATCCGTAGGTTNATCTGTAGATTGGTTTCACCTGTAGGACGAAATATTGATTGGAAATCGACGTTTTCCGTAGTACTCGCTGGTAATGGCTTGTCCTTATCCCAACAGTTGTCACTCTAATAGATGCTCCCCACAATCACCTTGCTAGCTGTCACAGTTCATCCGCCTCATAGTCGTGTCCTCTTCGCAAATCTGTATGGTCTTCATTGGTCATTCGCTTTTGTGTCAGTAGTGGAATGTTGCCCACCAATAATCCACCGATTTGTTTACCGGACCCCCCTGAAACAATGATCATGATGTATCGTTTCTGACAGGTCTTGTACTCTAGTTGTTTCAACGCAGGGCCACTATTCCCTTACCTCGGATCTCCACTTCTGTCATCTACAGGAACTGTTCCTCAGTGACAACCGTATCTGTACACTATCTTTCGCCTCGTTCCGAGACTGCCCGCTTGTTACCCTGGACTTGGCACGAAACTGTATCGAACAGTCACCTTGCTAGCTGTCACAGTTCATCCGCCTCATAGTCGTGTCCTCTTCGCAAATCTGTGTGGTATTCATTTGTCATTCGCTTTTGTGTCAGTAGTGGAATGTTGCCCACCAATAAATCCACCGATTGTTTACCGGACCCCTCTGAAACAATGATCATGATGTATCGTTTCTGACAGGTCTTGTACTCTAGTTGTTTCAACGCAGGGCCACTATTCCCTTACCTCGGATCTCCACTTCTGTCATCTACAGGAACTGTTCCTCAGTGACAACCGTATCTGTACACTATCTTTCGCCTCGTTCCGAGACTGCCCGCTTGTTACCCTGGACTTGGCACGAAACTGTATCGAACAGATACCGCCGGGAATTTCCGCAACATTACCCAGTCTGATGCGGTTGGATGTGTCGGCTAATGAATTGACAAAGTGAGTGTCTGAGTCTGTTGCCTTTTGTGGCTTGAACTGACTGTACTCACCAAGACTGGCTGGAACCCATTCTCAGCAGTTCATGATCTAAACTCGGCCTAATCATAGGGTAACAATAGAAAATTAACAATAACAATCGTTCAACTGTGACGCCGTTCGTATGCCTAGCTGCCATGCCAGCCGAGGGAAGCACGAGGGCTGCTATGTTATCCAAGCATAGACAGGAGCAGTTAGGATTCGGTGGTTGGGTTCGAGCCAGAGACCTTTTGGTTAGTAAGCTCGTTTCTTAGCTCGCACTCACAAAGGAACAATGGTACGCAATGAAATCGGATTGCCAATCTATCTCCTGAACCCACGATCTACGCTCATCCGTCCATTTCATTGTCTTATGGGAATTTCCCGGGTGGGTCAGATCAGCTGACCTGTACTGCCTGATTTAACGGTGCGTTTTGAACCCGTATATTAGGATTTCCAGTTAGGTCATCCATCCTAAGTAGGAGGTGAGAGTTAGTTTCCAAAACGGAGTCACAGAGGGGAGAAATTCTAGTCAGAGTGTGTTTTGAGATGAGTTTTTTCATGTAATATATGACCCCAAAACGTTTAATGAAGCGTGATAAATAAATGAAATCCGGGTAGCCTCGGCGTGACCCCCAACTCTTCCTGAGCGTGGAGCGTAAGCTTAAAATGGCTAATCAATGTGGCCCAACAGAACTTCAGTCACCGGGGACGTCGAACTGAGTACAACTCTGTCTCCTGTGTTGATTAGATGTCTGGCGATCGATGGTAGTATGACTTTGAATTCGATCAGAGTTGGGTTAGGGTCAGCTGACAAACGCGGTGAGTCGCAGATAAAACTGAAGGCGATATTTTGACTGGCTGCAGTTGCATAGCCCGGGACAAACGCGGTGAGTCGCAGATAAAACTGGCTGGAGTTGCATAGCCCGAGTACACTTGCTTTTCCTGCAGCGGTGTTGTAATGTGAGTGCGATGTGGGGATACGTGTAGGGTCTGTTTGGATAGGCTGAAAGAATGATCAGCGGTACTGTGGGTGGTACTCTCGGTTTATCACTTGGAACAAGGTGTTTTTCAATGAAGTGGTCAGAGTAGTTATTCGACTGCTGTGCATGTTTGTGCAATTCAATTTCCTCTGCGGTGCAAATCCGAGGTGCAAATGTGTCTACCTGTAAAAGAAAGAAGGCCTTCGCTGCGGATTTGTTTATTAGAAAACGCCAAGTGAACAGTCACAGACTATTGGATAGGGAAGCAAAACCCTCATATATACTTCTTGATTACAAAAACTGAATATCCATCTTCTCCTTGGACGTGTCTTCCTGAACTTCCCTGAATATTCATTGACTGTTGTTCAAGTGCAAGCGGATGTGACCCCACAAATTCCGTAATAGATCTCACTTATCAAGAGACGCGTAGAGGATTTACGAGAAAACATACTACTTCCATGCCCCCATCAGTAGTAACGACCGTTACATCTGTATCAGCTAGAGGAAGCACAAATACACGGACAGAAACTTGTGAGGCTTACGTACTGTCCATTCTGCGAAGGTTTCCGATAGACGAGGGAAGATGTCGGTATTTCTGGTGATCAATAGTATGGGTTTGTTTTCCTGCTCAAATTCACGGGTGAACAAAATGTTCTGGTGGAAAATGTTTAGAACAGAGTTCAGGGGTTCAGTCTGTCTTTCACTGTTCGTGATGACCGAAACACCTAAATAAGGGTTCACGGCTTCTGCCGACTACTCAAGTTTTGCCGTGAAATTGTCGCTTGGATTAAACCTAGAAGACTCACTTACTGGCTCCACCAACTTGCTTGTGACTGATCACCTGGAATTGAAATTTGCATTCCAAATGCGTTGTGAAATGAGGTCCTCAACGATGCACATGAGAATTTGACGGGATCTGGGTCCACAAAAATCAGTCTTATTAACGAAGTGGACGTTAGTTCCTGTACTTGGGAGGATCATGTCTTCAGCCCTCCTAAAACGTTAGTAAACGCATCCGTACAGCTGTTTGTCCCACACAGTTCGTGAGACTTCCTGTAGTTAGGATATCACCACAGTCTTTACGCACCATTCATGTTATATAAGAATCCACCTGCGGTTGCTGTGATACAGTTGTCAGTTGAATAGACAGGAGACCTGGAGTGTGAGCAAGATTATGCCTTCAGTGAAGAACTCATTGCTATATCAGCTGGCCCCTCTAACACAACTCTCATCGAACCCATGATCAGATCATTGATCGCCGGACAAGTAATCAATACAAGACACAGAACTGTACTCAACTCGTCGTTCGGGTATTTGCATGAAACAAACGGGCGCAGAGACTGAAGTTCCTTGAGGCCACACTGATCGCACGTTGTAAGCTGCCCTTCGCATTCAGAAAGACTGAAGCTGTCCTGATTGATGCGGAACATCGTCCTTGACTCTCCAGAACAATAACATCTCTATGGATAGATCTTTAATGAAGAAGTATTCTGTACTTGATAATGTATGCTACTAACTATACGGCGATTGGCATATGTAGTGAAGAAAATCACGTTTTGTTGTGTATGGGCGCAAGACATGGCCTCTGCGGACAGATGATGTGAGGCGTCTTCAGGTTTTCGACCACCGATGCCTAGTTGTGGATGGCATCAGAGGCGATTAGAAAACGGGTATTTGGTTGTGCTGGAGGCACCTCAATCCGGAAAAAACCCAGCATCATCGACTGCGATGGCTCGGTCATGTGCTACGCATGCCGAAACACCGTCTATCGAGACGAGTGTTGTCCTCCGTGCCTCCTTCAAGATGGCGCAAACCGCGAGGTGGGCAGCACATGACTTGGCAGAAAGNGGCAAAAAGGCGTGAAAGAGATCACGACGAGTTTGGGTGTTGTTGGTGTTATGCAACTTCCGGGATGGGGTCCCCGTGACCCCGTCTGTGCTTGGCTGGAGACGTTGCAAGAAATGGCGGCTAATCGATGTCATTGGCGTTTGCGCTCTCAGTTTCTTTCTAGATTGTCTGATTGAGCGGTTAGGGGTGTAGGCACCTCAGTATGTTTGACATAGGCCAGCACTAGGTCCCCTCCCTCACCCACTCTTTTTCTCTTCTCCACTGTAGGGCTTGTTACAGAGACGTTGTTTTTCGACTTTTTTCTGAGCCATTTCACTCTTTTCCAGACAACAAAACATTCAAATCAGAACTCTGATGTGACATCCAGGACTAATCACAGGTTTTAAATGGTGGCTGACCCCACATGGAGTGTCAATGTACTCCTGGTGAGCTGTGACGCCTTGATGACAAACTCAAGCCAGGTGATTGTTGAAGAGGTGTATTCGGATTCCGAGCAGCTAAGCCCCACCAGACCCATCGGACTCATTGGTTGCGTGTCCCTTTGGTTTCTAATTTCACGCCATCAGACAAAGGACCACGTCTTACCGTTTGAGCAGTTGTTGCCCTCGGTTGCCTGTCAACCGGCGAGCGGACCCCCTGTCTTGTGGCCAGTTGTTTCAACTGAAGGAACACGTGACTGATCTGATGATACTTGCTATATATATATATATATATTTTGGCAGGCCTAGTGTGCGAGAGTTTTTCAAGGTTCGAACACATTTTTGAACAGTCATTTAAATTTAAAGCTCATGGATTTTCAGTTATCGGATCGATCTTGGAGGGCTTTATGACGAGTTAGATAAAGTCTTTACCCGTCTACCAGTGCTCATTTAAATGTCGGATAACCTCAGTGAAAGACGCTGTCGTATCGTTGAAGAATATCATCAAGACCTGTGGAAGACATCTGTAGTTTATTTTATTTGGTGTTGAACCGGAAAAAACCGGTGCTTGATTGTCTGTTTCTTTAGATGCCGTTTTCCTAGGGTTGGTTGTCTCGACCAGTGGTCACCGTTGGTGTTTGATATGTCTTCGGATATGGTCTATTTTGGGAGGTGTTCATTTTGAAGGATGCTACTTTGTGAGAGTTTGTTCCTTTTCATTCACAGTCCTTCTGTTGATGGTCTCTTGTGGTTTGGTTCCGTTTAGAAGATAGCCTTACGTCGGAAGTAGTCTTTTCAATCATTAGTCCTTTTAGGACCAATGTGTTTTCCATTTATTGACTTTTGAGCGGTCGACGTTAGAGGTCAAAGGAAGAAGCCATTCTCTGCGGAGTTGTTTACTAGGGAAACACCAACTGAACAGTTACAGAGTATTGGACAGGGGAGCGAAACTCCCACGTGCATCTTGTTTACAAAACTGAATATCCATTTTCTCCTTGAACGCGTCTTCATGAACTTTCCTGGGTATTCATTGACTGTTACTCAACTGCAAGCAAAAGCTACAAAGTGACTCCATAACTTCCTCAATAGATTTCACTTTTCAAGGGATGCGAAGCTGATTTACGGGGAAGCATTACTCACATGCCTCATCAGCATTATCCACCGTTACAGAGGTGGTGGTACTGACCGAAATACCCATGGATCGAATCAACGATCACCATTGAATGGTTTCCGTTTGTACTTGAGCACTGTGGCATTTTTTCGGTTTCTCGTATGCCCTAAAATGATAGGACAACTAAACGCTTGAATGGAACTTTGTGTTTTTCTAATTTTAAGTTTGAAATTTATTTTCAGCTTGCCCACCGAGCTTGGGCTGATGAAAAGCCTTCAAGTGTTGCTGGTCGAACGTAATCCACTCAGATCTATCCGGCAGAACATTGTTTCGGTAAGTCGCTTGCACGGTGACCCCCTCTTCATTTGTAACTGACGAAAAAATTAGTATACCGGTTTTGGTTTCAGTTTCACTCAGTATATGAATTTAACATTCCAAACCGAGATCCCTCCAAAGGCTGAATTGCCTTCAACGTTATCACGATGTAACTCTTGGGCTGAGATGTCAGTGATTATGCATCAATTTGGATTGAGTCCAACAAAATGCACTACAGAACACTGTGTGATAATAAGGCAACTCCCAATAGACTGTAGACGACGATGGTGATTTAGAATTTGAGCAGACTATTCTCTTCGTTTTCATAATGTTCCATGTGGTTAGGAATAAACGCACATCAAAACCGGTTCCTCTTATCGCACAGAATAACTTTACCATGTTTTTATCGAGCACTGTTGAAACACTCAATCTCTTCTCATCTGATGCGATCAATAGGGTGGTACAAACGCGATCAAGGAACTTCTACGCCAACGACATGTGTCCACATCGGAGGATGTTCCACCCGATTCATGCACCCCTCAATCCGTTCAGGTTACCGAATGTGCGCCCGTACCGGAACAGGCGAGACACTCAAACGTAAAAGGTGACGTGGCTTCAAACGTGGGACGCTCGGTCAAAACCGGCGCGGCCGACACTGCGCTTCCTCGCGTGCCACCTGTCAACCCTGCCGGTGTTCTTCAATGGAGCGCAGCCCCCAAAGGTTCTCCAGAGTTGTCGCTTCCAGAGCTTGATGTCGAGGCAGCGTGGGTAGATGCTTCAGCCTCTGGCACGACGGCAGTTCGATCCTTGCAATTAGAACAACGCACGCTACAGGCTTTTCCGATGGGGTAAGTGTTATCCTAAGACCGAGTGACTTGGCCTAGCAACTACTTTTCTAGATTTGTCGAAAGAATTGCTAGATAGCAAAGCAGATGGCGTATTTTATTATCAGGGTTCCCAGTGAGTGCATTGTGCATACCCAGTTAACGTCTTAACATTTCCTGATAAGAAAACTCCAGGGGGAAATGTGGTCTCCCTCGTGGAGATGGCCCCTTCGGAGGGGTCGCTGGATTGTTGGTGAAGCAACCTGGGTTTAGGGAGGAAGTCAATCGACTTTCACGCGATATTTGTCCCCTCTGAGAGATCAGTCGAAGGGACTGACCAAACGTGATCGTCTTAGGGAGGTTGTGACTTCAGAAATCCAACCTCTGGATAACCAGCACGAAAGAACTGGACAAAATTTATTTCTTAAAACGCATAAAACGCCATCATCTTAAACAAAACATTTTTGTACATCGATATTGCACTGCCTTACTCCTCGGATACCTCGTTGTCTGGGTGATGCAGTGATTCCAGGCCATCTCACTTTCAGGTGGGCATATTTCGTCCACCAACTGGATTCGGTCGCAGGAGCGCCGGATCAGACTGTAAGACGTACAGGTTAGAACCAGCAAGTTTCGGATACGTGTGTGCATTAATTTGATTAATGTAGGGGACCAAAAGCTACTGAACGCGACTGGATGAGTCCAACGCATCTCTTGTGGGACACTCTAGTGAGGAATGGCCGTGTCGCTTGAAATCGAGCTAGTGAAAAGCCACAGCTGGCGGTTTGTGTCCCAATGCGGTGTAAGGTGCCCCGTAATCACTCAGGTGTGGAGCAGATTCGAGTGGATTCTTCTCGAGGATCGTCTGTCCGGTAGATGATGACTTCGCGAACGATGTTGTATCTTTTTTGTTCGTACTACGGGGGTAGGTTTCGGTTTAGGTGTTTCTGAATACGAAAAATTTGCGTAAAAAGTACCCAAGAAGTCCTCCAACAGTTGGAGAGTCAAAAGCTGTTGTGTGCCCCTCAGATTTGTAGAATAGACGCAAAGAAAACAACGCAAAGAAAGAACAGACTGTGGATGATTTGTTGTAGAAACTTTGTCCTGTGAGTGGAGCCAGTCTATGCGGAAATGCGGGGGAAGTGGTTGTTTCAATCTTACTGAGAATCACGTATCTCACAAAACTCCAGTAGGGGGTCTCGAACCTGTGACCTCCCGGCTGGAATTTCGAACACTCAACCGTTCGAACACAGGCAGCTGATCACTGTGATTAGCTCTCATTAGACAGGATGTAGAACCATGCCTTTTTCAATCACGAGAGTGCGTAGTCACGCGTGCTGTGTCTCCTCAGTTGACGATTTCTCAGTTTCACTCATCGGGTGAATTTTATTCTTCCTCTGAGCTACTTATAGATTATTGGTAGTATGAGTAGATTTTTGGTGTATTTAAGTCTGCACCGTGGATAAAATTTTTTGACTGAAATTCTCATGTTTCTTCATGAAAATATACTACGATATCTCGGATACCGTACGGTGTGCAGCACATTCAGTTGTAGAAGATCATCAACGGGAGATTCAGTTGAGTCTCGTGGAAACCAAAATGATTTGCAAATGAGTGTATTTCTCGAAAACAGTGCAATTTGGGATCGAGTAGAACATAAGGCTGATGCAAACTCGGGGACTGCGCCTACTTGATGAGTCGTGGGCTATCCATGAGTTTTCAACAACCTTGTGAGTAGTTTCTCATGTTCCCGTTTTACGATGTTCCAGTCCGGCGAAGTTTTTCAGTTCAGCTCCGTCCCTTACACTAACGGACGTGAGCCAGCTGTCGCTGACTAGGTAGATATTGACCAATGCACTGTCTTGTGTCAGACAACAAATGGTGCCCACGCCGAGCATTCCTTTGCCTGGATATGTACATTAGAGTCGTATTCAGTGCTTTCTATCGTCATCCGCATTTCCTGGCTCAAACCATCTTCTTCAGTACAGGTCCCACTGTTTCCATAACTGCGTGTTACTGGTCCATCGATATAGTTCTTGTTATCGGTACGAATGCTATAGCCCCGTCGCCAACTTTGGGTGACAAAATATTTAGTCTGATGCAGCAAATACTGTCATTTGTAAACAATGCACTTTTCACGGGCTTGTTGAGCAAATTTGTCATGTCTCTTTTTAACACCACTTTTTATGTTCTTGTAAATTCTTGGTGTGACTCTCGGTGGAATCTACCCTCAGCAAAAAACAATCATTCAACCTCATTTGATGGAATTTGACTAAAGATGGAACACATTGGTGATTCTACAATTTTTTGGCGGGGAACTCCCAAACTATCCCATCCAATTTGTCCTGATATCCTCTACCCTCACTTCCCTTCCGGTCCATGGAAATCCAACAAGCCTATTGTTTCACTTCGCAGCTCTGACACCTGGTTTTATTTCAGTGTGACTTACCCAAATTTTTCTCATCTGCTGTTGGTCAATGTATTTGGTATGTAAATTATACATATACTATAACTGAACCGTGAGAGTATTGATTTGTACTTTTGAAAATTGTAGCATTTTCGGGTTCGCATCGACTTTGACCACACTCAATCTGAGCGTCAATCGTATTACACGATTGCCCGATGAGATCGATCGTTTGGTGAAGCTGACGGAGTTGAATCTCACGTGAGTATTGTTGTCCCCGTTTTTTAGCTCGTAACCGGAGGTCGCGTGTTTATAACCTTGGGCTGTGATTTCGACTTCCCGCGTCCGCTACACACATGGCACTGGTTGCTGTCTTGGTTATCTTTACACACAATACTTCTGAAATATGGACGCAAAATTAAACCTCAACAAGGTATTCGCTGACCCGAAACGAGAGCAAAGTGAAGCTTTATCCCTCCAGTCATAGCCTCTTTCTGGTGAATTATGAAACCTAAGTTCCCATGAGCAGCAGATTGGTCATTTCGTGATAAAACAACTAAAACATAAGTTAGGTTATTTCAACCAAGATTTCGCCCCATACACTTTGTGCCGAAAGCCGGACAACACCGTACAGCTGTTTCATCCTCTTGGGAAATCACTGCAGTGCATATCTCACGAATATACGAGGTGATTCGAATTTGCAGCTTTCCCTCTACTATTTTCATAACTAAGCCGTTGGAGCGGCTGATTTGCAGAGGAATTCGACCTTTAACCACCAGGTAATCGAGACTTCCCTCGGAAGAGGATTCTGGGCACTTCTAGCAGCAGTACAACCCAGCCGTATTTCTGCCATGTATCACGGCACAACTGAGCCCATAGTTCACTCTCTTGTGTAAACTCCTGTCCTGGCACAGTTATTTTGGTTGGACTTTACTAAAGAGAGGGATCACTGGACTCCAATTTCTTTCCCATTAGAGTTCATTGGCCCTGACTGCAGATAGGAGTCCTGCAAGACACGCATTTTACTGCTAATTCACCAGCACGAGCATTCCGTATCCGAATAGGCGAAACATGTTCACTTTTGAGTGGTTGGTTTTCCGGAAGCCTGGGGCGAAGAACCAGAAACTGTCGTAGTATTGCCGATCGACTGACCCTCCTATCAGGGTTACTTCCCAATCAGGCGGTGTCACGACGCTTGGAACCCGTGGAAACTTTTCATTAGTTACATATGGTTCAGGGACTTGTGGCATTCACAACACTCATTTGTACCGCTCCCTCGCATGTCCTGATGAAATTATTCTGGTGGGTGCCCTCCCGTGGTGTGGATTTTCCCTGCTGATGTAGTTGTGGACAGTTTATTAGAGCTACATTCCCGCCGCACTCCACAAAATCACAGACCCAACCTAACTGCGGGCCAAAGGTTCACCAACAGTTTTCAGAATCACATTCCATGAGGCCGTCCGGTACCCTGAGTTCGAACTAACATGGGTTCAGCGCACCGCTTCCTTTGGAGTGCCATTTTAATGTTGAGCTAACAGAGTGCTGTGAATAAACTCACTCCTTTTCATGAAGTAAAGTTCAATGCCTTTCGACCTTGTTAGGGCTCATCATATGGGTTCACCGAGGTTGGCCACGTGACTTTTTTGCTAGCATTTATAATCGGCAGTCGTAATTCATTTTGATCCAGGCGGAACCTGCTGCGTACACTTCCAATCTCCATGGCAAGACTGCCCGAGTTGGCGGTGCTATGTTTGGACTCCAATCCACTGGGACCAGAACTCCCGGAAGCCGCGATTTTCTCACCCCCACTGTCCGGCACTATCCAGTCCCTTTCGCTACGCAGTTGCAAGCTTTCCAGAGTGCCATCAGCGAATTCGTTACTACCATCCAATGCACCGAAGTTGACTCATTTGGATCTATCGGACAACGATATCGACACCATACCCCCAGAATTGGGGTTATGTACCCAGCTCAGGTAAAATTCGGTCGTGTTCAAGTCATTGCCGTTACAATGTGCGAATAAAGAGCACCGTCCCAACACGGTGGAAATGCTCTTCATTGTAAACATGGCATTCATGTTGCGCACCCTTTGTGATAGCAACAACTGCAGGCTCACCATCACAGGCTCTTGGAATTAGGTCTGAGGCCTAGTGAATCCGCCCAGTTGATGTTCCAGATGCGGTATATACCTAGTTTAGTAGCCCTATAGATCGTTCTGATGTGTCTATTGATGTTACTGGTCAAGGTCTATCTGATTCGAAAGTGAATGTGCTGGACCATATGTCCAGACAGTTAAGCATATGACTACTTATGAGTAGTCAAAGAATTGTCGTCTTTTGCTGCGACGACAGCGGCTGATGATGAAACATCGGTGAGATGGCTGACTAGTAGTGAAGTTTTCCCTTATAACTGCAAAGGTTACGCTTTCAGAACTCACAACTTTGTGAACCATGCCCCCTGCTTCGTACGGATCACCACCTTATTCCTTTTCCTTTCATTCCAAACATTTTGTAGGTCACTTCAACTCACCGGCAACACGTTCCGCATTCCCCGACCGGCTGTGTTAGCTCAGGGTACTTCTGCTGTACTTGAATACCTTAGGTCTCGAATTCCGGATTCCTAACCAATAATCCTGCAGTCCGCCGCTATAGATTTACCAACCGCTTTGAACCATTCTCAATGTTGTTGCTTTCGTTTGACAATTTTAATCTTACAGGCCGTTATTTTCTACTCTGTTTCACTTGAAACTGCCATACTTTGCCCTCTCACTGATACCTTTACCGTCATATGCTGCAATTCTGTGTTTCCCCAGGTTCTGCTTTCCGCTTTCATCTAGTTTTGTCAATTTTTACACCGCCATCTATGGTCTGAGATTACAGACTTGTCTGGACTAAAATGTTTCGTTGTGTTAAAATTGGGATATAACCGCACCAGCCATTGACGAATAACAGATACGACATTTCAGTAGGCTTTTAGTAGCACTATACTGAGTGCATACCTAACGAGTATCAAACGGATATAGATTGTACAGCCCTTGGCGCGGCGCACTCAACATACCATTAAAAACTAGAAGACGTCATCTTAATGGACATCAAAAGCCTTCCTTCCAAGTTTGTTAAACTGACTGTAATTTATGAGGCCAAATATCGAGGGACCGGAACAGCAACAGAAGGTGATTCGCGGGACCCCACGAATAACCAATTGCTATGGAAAGAGAACGTTTTCATGTATGCTGATTTGGGACTTTTCAAACTTTTGTGCTTGCTACCTGTGCCACAAAGTGTCCTTGGGAAAATCCCTTACTGCGGCAATCAAATGTCGTCGATCTTACAGCCAGATTTCTGCTGGACCCTCTAGTCGTTCTACTGTCTAGATTTGGGCATCATAGGCATAGCATACAAAAACGTCATTCCGTTTATAAACGTTTCAGTCCACTTCTTAAGTGCTTTAGATGTGCACAATTACTCACCAACGTTCGCGTGTTTTGCTTCGAGTCTAGGAGTCAGAACTCGCTATGCTATTTCCGTTGCAGCCTTTTTGATCAACCGAATAGTTGTTCTCATGGGAGCTTCTCCTACATCATTGTCTTAGGTTTCTGAAACTCGAATGCAGCAGTCATGCATGACTCGCACAATCGCCTCTATGCGGTTCGTCATGCAGAGCTCATGAATGCACCGATAATCGCTGTATATTCGTCGTATCCATCGCCGGAGGTTTATAGGACGCCTTGGGCGCCTTGTTGTGGCGTGCTGAGAGCTCCGATATCGTGGTAGACGGAACGGTGAGGGCGAATTTAGTTAAATTTTGCCCTACTGAGGCTCAGTTGGGTGGTAGACCAGGACTGGATTTGAGACACGCGCACCACAATAAACGCCTTCTGCAACTGTGTGCTGGCCGCAGACAGTTTTTGTGCAGTATGACCTTCTGAAACAACCGAAGCCGCTTGGTCGCATAGAGGCCTTACAATGCGAGGCACCCTCCAACACAGCTACACCATATTGCCATTAGCTATTTGTTGCGTGCATCAGTTACACGTTCTGTAACATCTAGGTGGATACAAAACACGCGCTGGTTCGTTGCTGCTTTCCGTGGCACTTTTCGGGGGGCGCACACTCAGCCCCACCAATGAGTAGCTCTTGAACCTTGATATGAAGGAAAACTACGAAATTTAATACCGAAATCCCTTTTGAGCAAGACGTCTTCTGAAGTCAAAAGGCAGTCCTTCAGGATTCCGGCCGCTCCGCTTATGGAACGCCACAACTTTCTAGATCTATGGACTCGAGAGAAAGTAACACGTCAAAGCTGCTCGAATCTCAGACAAGAATTCCTTCTTTTCGACTATATAGTACCACGTAGACCTCATGCCAAACAGGGTACTCGTGCAGATTGAAAGGCTTGACGGGTCCAGAATGTTCTCTAAGAACGTGCATTCCCGAGCCGTTGGTTTGAACAGTTTCAACAACAATTTGTCTGGCTACATGCAGTTGCTCAGCCGGAATCCGTAGTTGCAACGCAGCGTTGGACGGTGAACCTGGAACCCCCGACGGCCTCGGGAATGTGCTAATACTTCGACTTTTACGTCACTGGGCTACTAGTCCTGCAAACGGTTACTCGTTCTGTAGCGACGGAAACGAAACTGACGGAACCTAAGAGGCCATGTACACTAGATAATTGTTACAGAAGTTTCACTCTGTGATCACAAAACTTCATCTCAAACGAATCCGAACATTAGTACTTCGAAATCTCCATAACCTAGAAAGTACTGGAAGGTTGAGTCGTGCTCACAATGAAGTGAGGGAGTATTCTGTAACCAATGTGAGCTGGCTAGGCCTGACTAGAAGACACATACAAACCGTTTCCGTAATAAATTGCCTGACTTCTGTCGCATAAATGTTTGGGGAAAATTAGTCGTTTCAGATTTCTCACAACTCCATTGATTCATGTAACTCCTTGACAGAACTCCAGCGAATCGAACGTTTACATTCTCTTTCACCCAAATGGAAACTCCTGTGAAACCTAAAAGATGATGCATCCACATTTGAAAGCTCAATGCTCGAGCTTCAAAACGGACTACGTACGGGAGCAATTTCGGCCTAAATCTTAGCTGTTCGGCACTAGTGTAGAACAAAATCAGGGCCGATTCCCACCATAAAACTGGATATATTCACAATTTTTGCGATATGGCTATCACACGCCTTTCTAGGCCAGGATGGTTATGTGTGATCTGAAGTCGTCAGATTTCAGTGAATACTCCTTGAATGGAGAGGACTCGTTGGATCTTGATTCGTTCCCAACCGACAATTTGGTAGCGAAATTCAATTCGATTTTCCTTACCATTTTCTTACAGTAAAAATGTCTTTAGTGACTTCTGGCTCAACCGAATCAAGTTGATAGTAAGTCATTAAGAACATTCCGTTGAGTAGTCTGTGCACTGTTAATTCCAATCACATAACCACCAAAATAAATGAATTACGAAACGTTTTCACAATAGGGATTCACGTTGTTAGTATGCTCTGCAGAAGGCAAATGATGCCAGCAATTTCAGTTAATATGTCGGTTGCATTGAAAGCTATTTTGAGAAGCACCGATTAGTGGGTTTTCGGGGACCTACGGGGTGATTCCTTTGAGGCACATGTGGAATGATCATCAGTCATTGAAATGTCGTAATGCTAAAAGCTGTACTAGAGGCCACACAGCAAAAACCTGGGTAGCCAACCAATCACAAGACCAAACTGTGTTTCTTTTTGCGGAGAAATAAAGCCTATTTACACAAACGGTTCTGCAGAACTTTAAAATGACAATTGATCGTTTGGGAATCCAAACTCATATGCCGCTCCTCTGTTCGATGCTTTCTTTAACTGCATTTTACCGATCACACGCAATGGTTTTCGCCAGTTCAATTGGAATTTATAGTACTCACGTTCGAATGGCCAGCTTTCCTGTCCGGCGACATCGATCTCATTGGAAATGCTCATTCAAGGACGTGCCGGGGGATTGAACCCCTGATATCTGATATGCAAATTAAACCTGCTACAATTATTCCACCAACAGGTATTGGATGCAGCAATACTCAGGAATATTCTAAGCGAATGCAACGGCGCCTAATGTCACTTCAGAGATACAGGATACGTTTATGACTGCGAAAGGCCGATACAAAACCCGTATATGGCCTGGTCAACTGGAAGGGAAGTTCTCGGTGAAAGCAGAAATAGCTTCAAAAGTCTTTTGTACAGATTCACAGGCGCTTAAGAGGGAACTAGTGTAGAAACATCAGAATCATTTGCTGATCACTAAGCCCCAGTACACACATTCCAAAACCACTGAGGACCTGTCGTTTTATCTTGCAGGCTTCAAGCTTTTGCTGAGCAATGCACTAGTGAAAGATAAGGGTCCGATTTCCACAACTACTGGATCCTTATTGATCACCTCAGCAAGACCCACCTTCTAGCGTTCAAGAAATCAGTGATGTCCTACATGGGCCCACTCACTGAGCTCTCTCACCACTCTCTCAATGACGGGTGACTGCCGATCCTGGGTTGATACCGTCAACCTATTGTTCAGATCTGTTTAAAGGCAGCGGTTTTCAAGGTCATTGGATTGACCATATCTAGCCGGGTGCAATGTCGTTTTGCGATAGAAAATTCACATCAAGTTAGCCTATATACATATATTTCCCTAGAACTACTATGGCCCAACTATGGTACCAAGCGAGTGACCAGACAGCCTAAGGCCTCCGGGGGCACCCCAGGTCAAGTCTTCGTTGGATTCAGAATGGTCTTGGATAAAGCTCTTCTACGTCTCAGAAAAAATTACTTGTCAAGGCCAGAGGCACATGAACGCACCCGTTTGTTTGAAGCACCATACTGCGACGATACCTGTTTATGTCCCAGACAAAATCTCAGTAGAATGTAATGGTCAGCTCACAAGTATTCAGTCCCGATACTTAGTCTATGCCTGTGCTGTCAGGATGTGCAGAATACGTGCAGTGCTGATAATCCGTATCGTCTTCACGAAGAAGGATAGAACGACTCCTCCTCATTGTAAGCGTGCGTGTCTCTAGAACGGTAGTGAGACTGGCGTCGATTCCACCCATCTCAATGGAACGGTAATGAGGTTATGACACAGAGATCATGTCACAGCTAGCGGGAACCAGTCGCATCATGGACAGAAAGCTCGCTTTCCGAGTCATAAGCCAAACGGTAAACAGTGGTATGCTTCAGTCTATTGTCGAATACAGAGACAATGAAAACTGATCTACACCTCTACGTGCGAAACAAGCGTGCAGGATGTCCGAAGTTCATTTGACTTGAAGGCAACTCCTCTCCACAGACGTCTTTTATTGACATGGTCCACTTGACTCTGTAAACTATGCACCCAATCTACCCCTTCTTTCCAGCTTGAAATCGCCAGTTCATGTGACTTTACCCGTGATTTTGGTGTCTTACAATTGTGGGGTATTAGAAAGGATGACCAAATGCAGGAAACGATTTTTATTCCATAAGTTCGTTCTCATCATTCAGCATAGTCGAATACTGCTTTTGAATTGGTCGTTGATCTGGTCACTGTTGATGTGTTCGCCTTGCTTGGCAATTGGCCGGCAAACGTTTCGTCACCATGTGAGGACGCGATGGACGGAACGTTGCTCATTAGCGGTTATTTTGGTGTTGACGTGTGTATTTAAACTGATCAACCTGTCATACGTACTGAGTCAACTCCTGCTAGTGCCGCACGGTCGGACCGTGAAGGTGAACACGGTAAAACGATCAATTTCCATAGGCAACGGACATGGTTTTTATTTCCCAACTGGAACTGCTGCGTATCCTAACGTCAAGCCCCCCAAAGTTTGATTCCAATAATCAGAGTAACTTGTATCTAAATACAAGG